CGGGGATGTAGAACTCTATGACTCAAAAAGTCCCACAATAGATCCACTCTCCTGGCCCGAAAATTTCTGCGTAAGCAATTGTCCGTCCCATATATACTCGGATCTATGCTGGGGCTGTAGGGCTAATAGATCCAACGTCCGAGGGCCGAGATGTATAGTCGTGTCCATGTCGTGAACTGTAAATTAAAACAACATTAATTGTATTTTATTCTGTATATTAAATATTAATTTTTTGAGATACATAATTTTTAGCGTTATACAAAAATTATACCTATGAGTTTGAGGTTCGATATTTGAGTCCCAGTAGCACCAAACTATCCTTAATAATTATGTGTTTATTTTATATTTTAAATTCATATTTTTTAATAACTTAATTGTACAAATTATATATATAAATATATATACCTATGGGTTCCGGGCTCGATATTTTGAGGCTCAGTGGCACCAAATTAACATTAGTAATTATGTGTGTTGATACAATTGTTAACTTAATTGTACAAAGTTTGCATTTTCAACTACCAGTATAAGATACTTAAACAAAAGGAATTCTAAGCTAAAATACTACACATTACTACGCTACAAGGCTCTAAATTTTACTACGCTAAAAGGGTCTACATTTTACTACGCTAAAAGGTCTAGATTTTACTATGCTAAAAAATAATCTAAACTAAACATAAACAACAAATAAATTTAATTGCAAATAAAACACAAAACAGCATGAAAATACATATATATAAATCAGGATATTAACAGATAAATTTATATTTTTTTATAAAATACTAATATTAAATCCGGATAAATTTAACATACTAGTTTCGAAAAAAAAAAATACAAACCGAAATAGAACACATACAAATCAAATAATATGCATTATTATTATAAAAGTTTCAACTTAAAATAAACCGAAATACCTCGATTTAGAATTTTCGGAAAGCAAATAGATTGAAATTTTGACTCCGGAAGTATGAATCAACAATAATACGAAACTCTACTCGGATGTGGGACCTACGTTCTTCACCTTTTATGTGACGGGAGACCCAATTTTTTTTAAAATAGTGGGGCAGCGGGTATGGGAGTGGGGGCCCAAGAAGAAGAAAATATAAAATATTGAGGAAGAAGAAGCAGAATGGTCGTCTTGAAGAAGAAGACTCGTTTTTAAAAAAAAAGGTATAGCGCCGGGTATTTGGGAGCTATACCTGTTAATGTCAGCTTTCTATGTATAGCGCCCAAATATTGGGCGCTATACATTAACGGCACAGTTAACGTTAATGTATAGCGCCCAGTATTTGGGCGCTATATATAAAAATGCCATTTTTTTACACATATTAAGGTGCTACTTGTCCCAAAAAATCACATTTTGGTTCCGAACTCTCATCAAAGTTGGGCAACCTTTGTGTCAACAAAAGTATTCGAGAATTATAATAATTATTTATGTTATATAATTAGTCTGTAGTATATTGCAACAAGAGGGGTTGCTCTGATGGTAAGCAACCTCCACTTACAACCAACAGGTTGTGAGTTCGAGTCTCACTAAGAGCAAAATGAAAAGTTCTTGGAGGGAAGGATGCCGGGGGTCTATTTGAAAACAGCCTCTCTGCCCGTTTGATTAAACTTACAATAAATTGGTAAACTTAATAAATGCGAACCAATTATAGGAGGATGGCATTAATGATGGTTGACCAACTCCTCATCCAATACCTAATTAGCTATTGAATATGTTAAAGCATCTGGTATTTCACATCATCTGGCAGTGCTTCATTGGGTGATAACACTAGTTTATCTTACATTTTGATCTTTAACAATCGTTAATGATTGGCCGGCACCTTTCACCATTAAGATGACTAGCAAAACCTCATTGAAGGTGAGATGCAAATTAAGGTTGCAAAGACCTGCTGATTACTGGTTACAAGTTACAACTGCTTAATTCCCGTTTTATTTTCTGTTGATCTTCATAAGCACTAAACTAATCAGAGGGATAGAAGCTAACAATATAGTGATTACAGTTTCATCCTGCACCAATTTAAGTTCGAGCAAAAGTCACCTTTAAAATTTCCTTTACTAGCCCAATCGATCTAAAAGTTAAAATTAAAAGAAAAATATCTTAAGATACCATAAGGTAGTTGTGGAGGGTTTTGTCACAAATAATTACATGTTGGGTTGCACGTAGTGGAATCTCCCGCATTAGGAGTAAGACATTATTAACGGTCCCACTATCTGGACTAAGTTGTCAAGTCCTTCTCAACACAAGCTCGACAGCTATTCTCCCGTGACTTTTTCCTAAAGAGAAAGACAATTCCAAAATTCATATATGATAGTAAAGTAAAAACATCAATGTGACCCCAAATAAGACCTTTGTTTCTTCTCTGTTTTACTATGGGCAAAGTACATACTTTATCTATTGAACTTGTCCCCAAATCTCTGTTGCACACTTGTTAAAGACAGAAATAATATTACACACCAAAATTTTTAAAGGTGTATTAATTACACACCATTTCGGTATTTGACCACATCTGCTTAAAGATTGTTATTACACACGCCAATCAACATCTGACACGTGTCATAAATCGTTAAAAAAAAACAATCACGAATTCAACTAATTTTCTAAGTCAATAATAGTGATTTTTACAAAACCCAATAACTCCTCTTTTCTTCTTCCTTTTCTTTTTCTTCTTAGTCACGGGGGTTAAGAGACAAATATGAGGGGTATACAAAATTAGGATGGAGGTTAGGGGAAGAAGACGAAACCAAGGGAGGGGAGGAATCGCGGGGTGGGTTGGGAAAGAAGACATGAGTTATATTTTTTTTCTTTAATTTGTAAAGAAAATAGTTTAAGAAAGGGAAAAGTAAAATAAAAAACTTAATTTCACATGAATTTTGTAATTTTCATGCGCCTCTTTTATGTGTAATACATGTATGTGACACATGGCAAAAGAGATGTGTAATTGACACTTTTAAAAATTTTGGTGTGCAATACTATTCCCGTATTTAATTGTAAGAGGGATTTAAGTACAAAGTCTATCGGTAAAATATGTATTTTTCCTTTTTCTATTCAAACTTTGAATATTAGTCCATACAAGACAGAGGTACAATATACACAAAGGATACCAAGGACCATTATCCTATTCATGCCTGACTAATAATCACTAGCTAGTAATCACTAATTCACAAAAGCCACTAAATTGGGCTAATTCAGAAAAGGATATAGAGACAAATGTAAGAATGCAACATTGAAACAAGATGGGGGAACCAAGAAGAAGAGAAAATAAATTAAAATTAAAGAAAATGCTAAACATTGAAGCTGTGGTAGTTGAAATGGTTTTCAATTGATCAGAAAATGTCGAGAACTTCCAAAATCAAATTGTTGCAGAGAGGACAATTACCCCTTTGAACCCAAAGCTCCCTACAACACAACCTGCAAAATGTATGTCCACATGGTATAAACGCAGCACCCTTATGTCTCACCATACAAACACAACAGTTGTTATATTCTCCGACCGCACCGGCACCGACACCGGCGCCGGGAACTCCATTATCATCAACCTCTTCCTCCTCTTCATCTTCTTCTTCGTCTCCATCTCCTATCATATAAGCTGACCCATCTCCATCATTCTCTGCTAATAACGCCATTAATGACATCCTCACCGGTTCATCTCCTCCAGCATTTTCCCCTTCACTTTCTTCCTCTTCTGCAGTTTCATTTCTGCTCGAAATTCTTCGCAATATTCTTTGTGACCCAGATGCCGAAATCTCCCGCTGACCGAAATTTTCAACGGGCAGGTCCTCTTGGTAAGTAACATCATCGAGGGGAGGAGGTGACCGAGGGGACAACCTCCGAGACATAACTATCGGATTGTTATTACCCTGTTGAATGGAAATGTTAGAAGTCCATGTGTCGGCAGCACGTTTAAGACGGAGTTTGTTCCTGAAATGTTTCCAAGTTTTTCGAGTTTTTCTGCTGCTGTTGGGATCCTCTTGAATGATATCAAGAAGAGTTCTGTTGGAGGAATGGACAGGGGAAGAAGAAGAAGAACATTCTGGTTTGTTGCTCAACACAGCGCCTAACGTAAGACCTGCTGTAGTATTGTTGTTGTTTTCTTTGACTCTGAGGAAGTCTCCGAGGTTAGGAGTATCAATTTTATCATTGAACATCAATGTTCTTAGGCTACTACTGTTGCCGCTGCCACCAGCGGCGCTTTCCATTCAAATGTTAAAGTTCAGTTAGATATCAGGCAAAACCAAAAATGGGGAACTTCTTATTTTGGGAATCTAAGGATTGGAAACTTCGTTATAGAGATCAGTGACAGAATTTCTTGGAGACCAGAAAAGGGAATTAAAAAATGAAGAGTTTTGACATGAAAGGAAAATGACAATGGAAGAGACTCAGATCTGTGGAAATTGTGGCAATTTATTAGTCAATACATAGAGAAGGGGGATAGGAGAAAGCGTGAAGGATAAAGCATAGGATTCTTCAGGGGGGAGTGACCCATGGAATCAGAACTCAGATCTGGGGTATTGTACTTTAGGCATAGCAGCTCAATCAATGAAGAAAGAAGAAATACGCTAAAAGAACAGACACAGTTCTAATTTGCTAAAGAGAGGAGAGAGAGAGAGATGAAATGAAAAAGATAGAGAGAGAAGGGATGTATGTGGGGGGCTGGGTTTTAGGGGNAACTGGCGTAGGCGAGTAATTTGGATTGGAAGGTCCCCCCAACAATTTATTTCATCTGTACAATCGAATTCACAGCTCTTTGGCCATTTTCTACGTCACAGGAAAAGTAACATCCAATTTCTGGTTTTTCACTAATTGATTAATTTGGTTAATAGGATAATGCTTGGTGATTAGGCATTAGAACGATCATCGTGTCTTTGAATGTGTATGGTCAAAATTCGCTTATAGAATATTCAGGAAGAAAAGGATCCTCATACCATCGTTTAAGATGGTCCAAGAAGTCGCATTAGCCCACGATCGAGAAGTCCAGGACGGTCGTAGTCAAGTCATCGACGAGGATCACGATCTAGTACTGATGATAACGTTGTAACGGCTAGCTTTCAAAATAAAATCAGAAAAAGAATATTCTAAAGGATATTCTAGCGAATATTCCTTACTTTGTACTGTTAGGGTTGTTTGGGAAGATATCCCATATAAATAGAAAGAAGAGAGAGAATAGAGGCATGTGAAAACTCAATTGTAAGAACAACATTTTGAAAGAGATTCACACTTCACTCAATACAAAACATTACTTTTCGCTATGGCTCTCGTCAGATATGAGGAATTCTTAATTGTTTGAGGATCTATCATCCAATCATTGTCAGGTGGAAGATCTTTTGTTCCACCTCTTGCTCATTAAATTATTCCTCTTAATTACACGAGTGTCATTATGTTGTCATTTATTGAATATCATACACACTGTTATTCTTCTTGATAATAAAAGGCATTTATTACATAATGTCATTATTGTCCTCATAAATGCCTGTCAACTACCTTTTCTGATATTAAAATATGAGGATATTATTCTTAACTAAGATTAATCTATGTTTAACTGAAATTAATTATTTGAATCATGATTTACGCTTTTGGGTCAAATAATTTGGCGCTATCTATGAGGATTTCTTAGTTAATTTTTTAGTTTCCTCTAGATCTGTAACTAACGCCGGGCACTAATGCCACAAAACCCAAGACCCCTTCTTTTTCTTTGTGCAAAACCAAACATGGCGGGTAACCGAAAAGAAAATGTGAGGACAACAAATGACCTCCCGACCAACCTCATAGCCGTCATCAACAAGAGCTGTGAAATGGCCGATGAGGATATGACGTCGAATGCGTCCCCTAGGCGATATGGGTCACCACCCCCACATTGTGGCATAACCAAACCTCACGGTAAAGGAGTTTTTACATCTACGGAGGAGGGGGCACCGCCGGCTGTCAAAAAGCTTCTCGAAGCGTGGCTGACTAACACAGTAACGAGCATCCCAGGCTCAATTACGGAAATCGGAGGGACTGCCACAATACAACAAGCGGACGAGCAGTGCAATCATCCACCCGTCCAACGACAGGTATAAATCACAATGTCATTGATAATACAAGTGATAACGCCCTTACAACCATCCTTAAAAGGATGGAAGAAATGGAGAATGAAAATATGACGTTTCGAGATCAGATGAAAGAACATCAGGAATGGGTCGATAAAATACCCGGCGCCCCTAAATTGCTACCAAAAAGGAACGCCGGCCAATTCATAGAGTAGTCGTACAGTGATGGTGCAGCTCCCTATGCCATACCAAAAGCCATCAAAATGTCGTCCTACCTCAAGATATACGATGGCACGACCGACCCAGAAGAACACGTGAATCAGTACGTCACCATAGTAAAAGGTAATGATTTCGCCAAAGAGCAACTGTCCTTTATTTTGCTGAAAAAGTTCAGCAAAACCCTCACGGGAGGAGCACTGACATGGTATTCATAGCTACCTGCGCGCTTCATAGAAACTTTCAAAGAGATGGCTGGCAAGTTTGTAACGGCCCATGCTTTGCCATTAAACAGGCCCTAGGGGAAGGGTTGAGGGACTTCCTTGCCTCATAATCGAGTGAGGATGACTTTGCCGAACGTATCCGAAGGAATGGCGGTCGCAGCCTTTCAAAACGGGCGGAGCAACAATGGTTTGAGAGCAACTAGGAAATTATTGAGTCGGTTGATGAAGTATTCCCCAACCACTTGGGACGAAATACACAATGCATATTGTGCCGAGGTCCGAGAAGATGAGGACGACCTCAATGGACCAACTCATCTACTGACTTCGGTACAGGTCGAATCCAAAAAAGATTGAAGAAACGATGCCAGAAGGGATCCCACAGCTCCACGACCTAGTAGTGAACGACATCAACCGCATGTCAGAACGGCCGTTACGGCCCCGTCCCGCTACAAAGAAGGCCCGTTTAGACCAAGGACAGGGACTCATCGGAGTGAAAGAGGTATGCCCCCTTTGTTATCCGCTCACAATTTTTGTGTTTCACCTACAGAGATAGTCTATGCTCTGGAAAAGCCCTGACCGAAGGTAAAGTGGTCGCAGAAGATGAGGTCAGATCCAAGTACTAGAAAGTCCAACGCCCTCTACGATTTCCATCAAGAACGGGGGCACAAAAATGAAGATTGCATTGCCCTAAGGCAGGAAGTCATAAACATTTTATAACAAGGGCACCTCAAAGAGTTGCTGAGCGATTGGGGAAGAACCAACTTTGCCTGAGGACGCGAACAACACCAAGGACCGCCAAAGCCGCCCTCACCAGCTCGTACCATCCACATGATCATTGGCAACAACGATGATGCCTCCATCAACAACGTGAAATTCACCACTAACTACAAGCTCAAACGGTCAATCACTTGCAAAACGATACCATGTGAGACACATTATGGTAGATGACGGAAGTGACACATGTATTATCCATCCTCGAGTACTTGCACAAATGAAACTTGAAGATAAGATAGTGCAAAGTTGGATCACGCTAACTGGTTTTAACAATGCAGTTGGGTAAACATCTGGAGAAATCCCACTCCCTATTCTGGCCGGTGGAGTCACTCTAGAAACCACATTCCACAGCATAGACCAACACAACATACAACTCTATAGTAGGGCGACCATGGATACACATCATGAGAGCCGTCCCTTCCAGCTTATACCAGGTCATCAAGTTCCCAACTCCGTGGGAATATTCAGTATACGAGGGGAACAACACATATCCGGGGAATGCTACCGCATCGCCCTAGACAGCGTGGCCATCCAATAAAAGAGGGACAAAGAAAAAGAGGCATAACAATCAGCAGGGTCGAGGTCGACACATGACGCTAGCGGGAACGACATCAGAGACCCCGATATGGTTGAAGCTACAGGATCGACCATAAAAGACCTCGACCCTATTCAATTAGACCTCAACGACCACAACAAGAAGGCTTACATTAGTTATAAACTTCAGGAACTAGGTAAATACCATCGATTCTTAACAGCTAATGCAGATTTGTTTGCTTTCAGCCATGCAGATATGCTAGGAATCCCAAAGGAAATCGCCGCGCACAAACTGAACATCATCCCATTCCACCCCCAAGTAAGACATGCCAGACACAAGTTCAACTGCGCAATTAATGACGCAATACGCGAGGAGGTCGAAATATTATTAGAAAATGGCTCTATTAGGGAGTCGAAGTACCTCAAATGGGTTGCCAACGTGGTTATGGTGAAAAAGAAGAATGGAAAATGGCAGATGTGCGTGGATTTCACAGATCTGAACAAAGCGTTCCTAAGGATTCATTCTTGTTACCCCATATCGACCAACTCATTGATGCAACGGCCAGACATGAACTATTGAGCTTCCTAGATTCTTACTCAGGTTACAATCAAATCCTCATGGAAGAAGAAGATCAGGAAAAAACCACAGTCATCACCCATCAAGGAACGTACTGCTACTGGGTCATGCCCTTCGGGCTAAAGAACGCGGGGGTAAATTATCAAAGGTTGGTGACAAGGATGTGTAAGAACTAGCTCGGAAAAATAATGGAAGTCTATATAGACGACATACTGGTCAAATCCAAAAGGAAAGAGGATCATATCGATCATCTGAGAGAAACTTTGACATACTCAGACAGTACAAAATGAACCCTGAAAAGTGTACATTCGACGTGGCTTCAGGAAAGTTTCTAGGTTTCCTGGTATCACAATGAGGGATCGAGGTCGATCCTGATAAAATCAAAGCCATCGAGGAGATACCAGAGCACTTGACCACCAAAAAGCTAGTTCAAAGGTTGACAGGCCGTATTACCACCATATCAAGGTTCATCTTATGGTCATCAGATAGGTGCTACAAGTTCTTTGGTGTACTTAAGAAAGATAACAACCTCCAATGGACTTCTGTTACCTCGTGCAACTCCCCATTCCCTATATCCCTATGTGTGTTATTTCCCTTTCCCTTTCCCTTTCCCCAGAATTCTGCACTTACACTCCCTCTTAGTTCCTAAGTTCTGCACCCCTCTTGTGAGCCTTGCCTTGGGACCTTGAGTTCCCTCTGAACTTCGACACCTGTGGGCTGGCCCTTCCACACTACACTTTGGCTTAATGTGGCGATACATTTGGGTGTGAGCACTTCCCAGAGTTCATATGACACTATTAGGGAACTCTGACACACCCAAGTAGGAGAAAGGCTTTGAAGCATGA